GGGTTCGTGGCTCCTATCTGGTTTTGCTTTGCTTCTTCTTGCTAGAGCCATTGCAAGCATGATTCAGACCTTGGTTTGCAGCTGTTCCTCTTGTTGTTGTTTGCAGCAAACTGTATGCTCTAGGACCTGTAGTGAGAATTGTTTCAGCTCGGCCAGGCAAAGGGCAAAGCTATTGAAACTTGAAATTGTGCGACGTGAGTAAAATGTAAGTTTTTGCCCACAAGGGAGTTTCACCTGCAGCTGCAGCTGTGTGTTTGAACGTGTTTGAACGCGGCCTTCCTACAGCAGCCCAATCATGGTTCAAATTATCGCAGCCCCACGCAGAGCAGCAGCAACCCCAGGGTCCTTGGAAGGAGTTGAGCGGTGTAGGACCTCAACCACCAAAGCACGGTGCAGCAGTGCAGCGTCCTTTCCGGGCCATGTCGCGGCACTTGGAGGCCCCGCTCACGGGCACGTCTGCTTTAGCTGGCGGCCCAGCAGGCCGCGCAACGCAGGGCCACCGGAAGCAGCTGCAGTAACAATGCTTTGAAGTCGCTTCGGGAGGGCCTGCAGTGCAACGCCAATGCACGCGCTTTCCAGCGGTCTCTTGGCCGGCTTCATGAGTGACGAAAAGAGCCTGTCCATGGGCGCTTTTACCCTCTCAGGTGCATCGACAAAGGCTTGAGGCCCGCGAGCAGCAGCAGGCCAGAAAGAGTTATCAGGTTTCAGTTGACGTGCTTGTGTGAAACCAGGTCTTAGCAGCATGGGCTCTGCAGAGCAGGCTGGACCGGACGCTCTTGAGAGTATCGTGCCTGCAGCTGGCGTGGCAGGTTCATGCTCTATCCACCACAGCGCCACCTCGGAGACTCTGATGGGATTGCAATCCGCTCAGTGAGGAAATATCCGTGCCCTGAGCTGTGGTATCGGTTCTGCTTGGCAGGTGCTGGTGCCAGATCGGGGACGGGTTTGTGTCCAGGAACATCGCGATCGGCAGGCACTGCAAGGAGAGCTCAAAGCAGTTCAATGAGTTCTAGGGCGGGGCAGGCGACGGCTGTTCTGATGACTGCCAACGCACGGGCCATCAGAGAACTGCCCAAGGACCACTTGGAGTATCTGGAGTCGAGTGCTGAGAGAAAGGAGATCCATGAAGAGAGAGCGATCACAGAGCCACTCCGCAATGCGACCGCGATTGTTTCCTCTTCTCTGTCTCCTCAGGTTGGCGAGGAAGTGACCGAAGCTGCCCTTTCTCGGCCAGAGCTCCATAGCCCGCATGCCACAGCCGAAAAGACCCCACAGAGAGCATAGCATGTTCGTTCGTGCATGTGCAGGCGTGCTTCCTCTGAAGCCGTTGTCGGCTGAGATAGAAGATACGAGCAACGACAAATGGTCAGCGGTTCAATAGGGCAGTGACATGCTTTGCCGACGGCCTAGCGCCTAGGGCCTAGGACATCCACTTGGAAACGAGGCAGGTGGTGATGAATAGAGTGATGGTGAAAGCAGGAGGTTCAGAGCGTCCTAGAAGTCATGACTACCATGGCTGGGAGCTGTAGTTAGCGTCACCGGTGGCGGCCTTACACTTTGCTGCCTCTCAGCACTGCCCGACTGCGCGCCGACATCCAATGCTTCGCTTGCGAGGGAGAATGGCTGCGGCCCTCGTGTCCACGACGCGGGAGCCCGACGCGACCACAGCGCTTGGAAGTGCGTCGGCTCAGTTGCGAGGTCGGCACCTCAACCCCATGAGGCGCAAAGTGTCGGAGCTGAGCCATGGATTTCTGAGTCGTGGGTAGAAAAGGGCTGCGTGCTCATGCTCTGTGAGCCTCGAAGCAGGTCTTCCCTGCCAGCTCGGTGATCGAGCTCTGTGGCGCAGCGGTGCTGCGCACGGCGGAGGCCAGGCAGCTGGCCAGGCGAGGCCGATAGGCCTAGGCTGGGCTTTAGAAGTGCCTGAGGACCTCAACTCCGAGAAGTGCAGAGCTGAGACGGACGAGTCGACGGCTCCGGAGCTGTCTCAGCTTTTGTTTCGCTTCCCATCCGAGTTGCGGCGAGCTGGAGCAGGGACAGGCCTGGTTTAAACGAGTGCAGAAATCTGATCGCTTTCGCTTCTCTTCTTTGTGAGGCATGTTTTGTTCTGGGCCACGGCACTTCGCCAGACAGCCGGCGGTTGCAGGCCAAGCACTCTCGAAACAGCAAACTTCGACGCGGGCTTCCACCGTGAGGTCTACGTCATCGGCAAGGGCTTGCGCGGCTGGATCAGTTGCCCCTTGGAGAGTCTCAAGAGCCGGAGCCGATACCCGCAGTAGCAGGGCCCCCCTCCTAGGTCTCCTAAGCGAAGCAAAGCGAAGCGAAGCGAAGCGAAGCGAAGCGAAGCGAATGAGAGAAGGAGAGGTTTTGAGCGCAGAGCCGAGAGCCGAGCCGCCGAGGCGTGGCAAAGTCCGGGAGGCGGGGCCCCCAGCTGGGGCTTCTCAGAACGCGGTCTAAGCTCCCTCGTAAAAAAGTCAGATCTATGGGAGCAAACGTTCCGGGAACCGCCATGAAAGGTGATTCTTGTGACCTTGTGCTGTGGGGCAAAGAGTTCTCCATTCCTTAGCAGCGGGAGCACAACGCTTTGGACAGGAAGCTCGTGACGATGATTGGAGCTCCAGGCTCGGACGTTGCAGCCGGTGCTGCAGGCGAGTTCCAAGCCGAGGGCTCAGACGTTGCACCGCACCGCTGTCTCAACATCCTTTGTACATTCGTGATTCGAAGGCCATCGCGGGTGCAGCCGTGGCCGGTGCATACGCAGGCGCTGTGACAGACGCCACTTTTGACTCGGATCACCTGCAACCGCCGCAACTGCTGCAACTGTGCTCGCTGTGCTCGCCGCATGCGCCAGGCTCCCCTCGGTCTGGCAGTGTCTTCAGTGCCGTGCCGGGCCAAGCTCGACCATGTCCAGGCTTCCATAGCCTGTCAGGGAGCCTGACGTTCTTTCTCCAGATTGCACGGACATGAGCACCTTCAAGCATTGTGCATATGTACATGTCAACATGCATGCCTGTACGACATGGTGTTGTGTTGCATTGCCTGGTATGGCCGGGGTATCCCGTGTTGCACCGTACTCCATTGTCTGCATGTCTGCGTACATGTCAATGTGTTCGTGCCTGCCCTACGCGCGTAGGTACGCACGTCGTTCATTTAACAAATGTATGCATGCATGCATGTGGGTGTGTCTGTGTGCATGCTTGGTGGGTGAGGACGATGAACATTAAGACCACGATGATGATGATGATGATGATGGTGATGATCTGGCGGTGAGGGTGATGATGGTGGTGGTGATGATGATGGGAGGATGCTGGTGGTGGTAAGTAGGGGGCATCATCATCATCATCATCATCATCATTGAATCATCATCATCATCAGCAGCAGCATCATCATCAACATCATCAACATCAGCATCATCAGCATCATCAGCATCACCATCATCCTTCGTCATCCCATCATCATCGTCATCCTCCTCCTCCTCCTCCTCATTATCATCATCATCATCATCACCAACATCATCATCACCATCATCATCATCATCATCACCATCATCGTCGTCATCATCATCATCATCATCAACATGATCATCACGATCCACCAGCATGGGCGCACTATTGGTGCCCTAACTGTCCGAGGCGCCGGCCATGCCGATGGTCACACAGCACAGCCAGTCCTCTGCGTGCACGCCATGCCAAAGTGCCGCTCGGTCAGTCTTGGATGCACCGTCTCGTGGCAGCGTCCGTGGGAAAGACGCTTGCTCTTCTTTCCTGAGGTTACCCCTGCCATGCCCATGCCGGCCGTACCAGCATGCGGGACAATGCGAAGCAATCACTCGGCCTGTGTTGGTCAAGCCATACAGAGCCAGGGTGTGCCTTGTCTTGTGGGTAGTAACGCTTGTGCTTGTCCGGTAAACGTGCTTTTCTTGCATGTACTCATTTGGATGTGCTGAGGCTATGCCCGCGATGCCCGGAGTTGGGACAATGCAGAGCCAAAGTGTGACTCGAAAGCACGAGATAGTCTCTGTTTGGCTCGCTGTGGGCCCGAGCGATCATGTCAGAGCCCAGGCGATGCCTGCAATGCCGGGAGTTGGGACAATGCAGAGCCAAAGCGTGATCCGAATGGATAAGATGGGCAGTCTTACTGTGTGGTGTGCCGTCAGCGCAGCTTTGCGTGCTGATCGAAGATCCCCCGAGGCGATGCAGGCATGGAGCCCGGCAGCCGCGGTGCAGAGCCAAGCTTCAAGCTACTCAGCTGCCCAGCTGCATTTAAGTGGCGTGCAGCCATGAAAAAGCGGCAGACCGCCACGATGGACGCAGAGAACTGAACTTTGCAGACCGAGGCAAGCAGGTGCCAAGTCGACATAGCTCCCAGGAGTTGCGGCTTCTCGGCGCCTTGGTGGAAAGGAACAATGGGCGTTTTCAGCGAGCTCGAGTAATGAAACAAGCGAAGTTGTCTAAGAGCGTGTTTGTGTAGGCGCAGGCGTTAGCATTCAGCAGTTGTGTAATTCACTGACCAGAGACATTCCGGCATGGGGCCTTGTTTCCCGTGCTGCAGTCTTTCACCGATGGCCTTTACTTGAGGCAGCTTCCGATGCCCCGGAGGCGCAGGCTTGCGCACGCAGAGAACCTGGCTTGAGCTCTGGAATGGCACGTCTCACGACCCTTGTGTCCGCAGGGCCGCGGAAACGCCGTGCCCCCTGCGGCCCGGCTGACATTGGAAAGCTCGAACTGCCGAGATATATATATATATAGATATAGTGCTGCGTCGCCCGAACCCCCCCAAGGTATGCCCCCCCCATTATGGTTGGGCTTGTTTAACCCCCCTCGTCCCCCTGTGGTGTGGTGGTGGGTTTAGGGTGTGGTTGTTTAGGGTTTATAGGTGTATAGATATGAAAGGGTTTAGGGTTGAGGGTCAGCAGCTGGGCGCGGCGCAGACCGCAACCATGGCCCATCCAGGTGAGTGTCGCCACTCAGTCGCAACACTGACGAGGATCCCGGGTTGGGGGGGCCATCTCTGTGACTGTTGGCAATCTTGAGACACAAGTGACGACCCTCACGAGGATTTCGGGTGTATACCATGGGGGGAAATACCATTGTGTTTACCACTTGGGGGGGCGATACCGGGGGGGGGGGGTGTACCGACACGCTACGCGACCTACGCAAGACGATGTACTCGACCTCTTGTTTGTGGCGCTTCAGGCCTCGGCACCTGCGTACTCCCGAGGCAAACCTGGGGCGTGGGCTTGAAAGCCAGCAGAGAGCATCTGAGGGCCGGAGAGTATAAGGCTCCAGCACCGTCAACTCGAGCAGCGTGGGCCAGTTCCCACCAGGTCGGGTACAGTTGTCTCACCCTGGCTCTTAAGACGACTCCCAGTACCGGAGCCAGGCTGTCGAGTGGCCGTCCTTGACGAGATGGTCATGCGAGCCGAGGTGAGATGCGCAAGCAGTCCTGTGAAGCCCTGGAAACCCGCCTTTTCTTCCTCAGGAGTCCCTGAAGAGCGAGCAGCTCGCCGTGCTGGAGGAGGCGTGACTCACTGAGGTGGTGTTCTGTGCGGCGAAGTGTGCGAAAACAGGGCACGTTGCTGGACGTGGTGGGCTCTGGCTCCGAGCCTGGGACCCGCCGGCTTTACGTTCGGTGGCCTAGAGCTCCCCATGCAGCTCGAAACCCCAACCGAAGCTGAAGCGAGCTCTCTGAGGTGAGACACCAGCAGTGCTGCACCCGGACGAAAACTCACCCCGAAGTTGGTTGAGTGGCACAGCCCAGGTCAGGCACTCTTGGCTGGATCAGCTTCGTAGCGCAGTCCGGGCGACCCTTGGCATTTGGCCCAGCCAACGAAGTGAAAGTAGAAGTGAAAGGTCTTGGCTTCCGAGTCTCTGATACTCTTTGCTTGCTCGTTGCTGGATCAGCTTTGGGCTTTCAATCTTCAGCGCAGTCTCTTTGCAAAGGCAGCTCTAAGCTGCGAGTCTCTGCTGTTTGAGCACAAGACTGGATTCTCGAAGCTTGCAGCAGAGATGCTTCCACAGCGACTTCAGGTGGCCTTGGCGGCTGCCGAGGTTCTGACGGCATGGGAGGGATTTCACCATGAACAAACCGGTCCGCCGAAGACAAGAGTTCTGATGTTTCTTTGGAGCTAACTTCGTCTCGTACAGACTCGTGCAAGCTGTGTTGTCCAAGCGCAGGTGGCCCCCCCGGCCTTTGCTGCGATGCCATCCAACCGATCGCGGTCCACGAGCACCTCTGCTTCATGAAGGGCTGTATCAGGCCGATCCCCAGCACCTTTCCTGCGAGGTGCTGCGGGCATCGGCACTGCGTCAGCGTCGATCTTTTCGGCACAGGCGCTGGGGAAATTGCCGAAGCTTGGGGGGTTTCTTTGGGTCGGGGAGAGGAGGCGCCCGTGGAGCACGGGGTGTCGGCCCGGCGCCCGACGGAAAAGCACCGAGAGCGCGTTGCGGTGCTGGCGGAGCTGGCAGAGCGGTGGCTGGCAGATCCCGATGCCCGCGACGGGCGTGGCCAGCGTGGCGAGCCGGGTGAGCCGCGTGTCGCCCCGGCCCCAGCAGGACGAGCGGGAGCGGCCGAACCATGCCTAGGCCTAGGCTATGGCCGCTTGCGGAGGTATCACCCACAGGTGATCACGCAGGAGGTGGAGCCAGCGGGCAAGCAGTGGCTACGGCGGCAGAAGGCACAGGACCTCCGCGAGGAGGCCCCAGCCCCCTGGTTCGGCTCCCTGCACTCGTGGCGTTCTTTGACTGAAGGCGCCCAAGAGGTTTCTGGTGGACAATCGCTTGCTCCATGCGGGTACGGAGGGCGTGAACTATCGTCCCTGCCCCAGGACCCTGAGGCCTGAGGTGCAGCCGCGGGCACAGCGGCACCCGGCCTCTGAGGTTTTTCGAAAGATCTGGAGGACATCGACTTGAGCTGCACGGCTTTGTGGGGCTCCGTCGTCGAGGCTCTCCCCGTCCCCTCCCTCTTGGCCCTCTTCTTTCTCTGTTGAGGGCGTGGATGAAGGGGACGGCTGGCTTTGCGTCTCCGGCGAGCTTTACCTGCCCATGCAGCCTCGGCCTCAGAAGCAAAGATGAGCTTTGGCTGAGGCAATTTTTCCTTGCCATAAACAGGCTGGCGGGCGTGCCTATCCTCACAATCGAGGAGTCGCCCTGGGCGCTTGCAGGGCTGCAGGTCGTGGAGGCGAAGCGCCGCTTCTTTGCCCCCGCAAAAGGGGAACTCGGCGAACTCCCATAATATAGCAGTGCTTGTGAGTCGTAGTGTTGGCACACCCAAAGCTTGCACAGGCGGCATATCATATCTCACTTGAAGGCCATGACCCCACCTCGGCCACTCTCGGAGTATCCGTGGAGACTCGAGACATGATTCGACATGATGGACGATGACGCCTTCAAGCAGATCCGGACATGTGCTGGATGCAGCAACGGTCTCAACGAGATCCATGACGCTGCTGGGTGATGCCTCGATGTCCACCCTGGGGTAATGGTGGGTGGTGTCCTTGACAATGGATCCGTGGTGACCTGGGGCCTGTGGCCATGCAGAGTTTGGTGGCAACAGGCTGAGGGATGCACGCGACCTCAAGCGCTTTCGGTGCCTCGACAGCCTCGTGGTGACCTGGGGCCATGGCTGTGGCGGCTGTGGCGACGGCAGTGCAGGAGCAGCTGACGGCTGCGCGCCAAATCAAAGCTTTCTCACGCGCTTTCGCTGCAATCCTCCGTGTGGATCCATGGTAAACTGGAACGGGGCAGAGCGCGCTGGGGTGCTGAAGGGCGTGCAGCACATCCAAGCTTCTATCTTTTCTGTTATTGCCATCCTCTGTGATGTTGGGTGAACATGCAAATATCTTGCTGGGCTAAGAGGGGTCGGAGACCGAACTGCGTTCTTGCCAGGCTTTCCCCATCGGCAGCGCGGTGCTCATGCTCGAGGCATGCAGGATGGGATCTTGTCGTTCCCGGGATGATGGGGGCTTGTTTGGTGATCTGGAGTCGGGTTCCTGTGGACGGTTTGCGCAGCTCAGGCAGCCATTATGCGGGCTGCCGAGGACCGCGGTCGACTGCGAGCCTTTGAACGGATGCGACGTGCCGTGCCATGCCATGCCATGCCATGCCATGAGGACCTTCGGAGCACAGCAATCTGTCAGTTGGAGAAGGACTGAGGGCGCTGAGCCTTCGCCTCCCGAACCAGCAGACCAGAATTAGTTGCTTCAGAGTTCACTCTGTACAAAAACGAAGCGGGGCCCAAGGAGCAACAGATGCAGATCCTTGGCCACGGCGCAGGCCGGGTCCCCGGGGACTTAGCCTAACTTCGGCTTCACTTTGCTTCCAAGGCGCCCGGAACCGCAGGCTCTTCGTTCAGGACCCGGTGCCCGCGCCTCGGGCCTGCGGCTTTGCGGAAAGTTGGGCGTTTCGGCCGGCTTTGCCTCGCGAGGTCTGGGCAGGACGGTTGGATCAGCTTCGTCTCCCAGCGGGGAGCCAAATGGGGAGTTCTATCCTTCTTAAGTCTTAAGCATCTATGTCAATGTATGTCTGCATGCATGTTTACCTGGTAACAGTCATCCCGGGAGGTTCGCCTAAGGGGCTTGGACAGGTTCAGGCCATAGCACAGCTCTGGCTTTCAAGTGCACAGACTGCATATTCACCTTTGAATATACGAGCAGTACTCAGCGTCAGATGTGCAAGTTGCGCACTGCAAGGAACCCCTAAGAAGGGGGCCAAATTGGTTTGCAACGAACCGATTCACCATAGACCCAAAGCGTTGCCCAGGACGGGAAAGCTGCTCGTGACACCGTTGGATCATTCTCCCGAGCAGATGCAGAAGGTGCCAAGCACGCTCCTGTCTTGGTTTCTGAACATTAGGGGACCTCGTATTTCGGGGTCCTTAAGTTGTGGGGATTCTGTCCTGTGTTTCTGAAGCTGACTACAGGACAACATTGCGAGTCAGTTCAGGTGGCAACGATGATTACCACCCGGCAGCAGCTGGAGAGCTTTGATGGCCAGGCAAGTTGAAGGGCCGGGTGTTCTTGAGTTTTTCAAGCAAACAGTCACCACAACTTTTACAGAACTCTAAAAAGTTGGCTCTGACAACTGAGGGGGCATCCGTGTCCATGGAGGTCGCACAAGCTCAGGAGGAGCCTCTTGAGTCGTGCAGCCAGGAGGTCTGTCGGCCTCTGCGCAGGAGCCAGCTGCCCCGGAGACACAACAAGCCTTCCTCGTCGACAACCGGGCTTTCAAGGCACGCGTGGCACGCGGCGTCAGGAAGAGCCGTGGTGGCAAGTGACTGCAAGTGTCAGGCGGACTCCGACGGTGTCGGCTACCGAGCTTCTCCTGATCTGGAGGACAAGGCCAGGTGCCTTCGTGCGGAGCTTTGCGGAGCTTCGTGCATGCTTGAGTCTGCTTGAGGCGCTGTTGGGCGAGCGCGGTAGCCCCACTCTGCTGCAGGTGGTCCCTGCTAGAACAGCCTTGTGGGGCACGGTGGTTCACGGTGTCGCCGACGACGAAGGATGGCTGAGGCATGGGCCCTTTGACGATGCACGAAGTAGAGTGTTTACTTGGGTTTGGGTGAGTGTGTCTGTGGGGGCTCCATAGAGGCATCGGCGAGTGCAGTTTGGAGGTTCCTCAATACAACCCTTCCTATCCTTCTTCCAACGTCTAATGTTTAGGGGCAATCTCACTTTGACCGCCAGTGCTTCCACATGACGAACATTGTTGTCCTTCGGCTTGCCGAAGAACGGTCGGCGGGGGGTCATCGGCACTGTCATCGGCATACAAGGCATGTACTTCGTTTGCTGTACTTCATGCCTTTTCTTTTGTGACAGCCGTTGATTGCTGGTGCTTATATGCCGCACTTCGAGACCTCTTTGCATTGTCTTTTTGCTTCACATTGACATGGTCTTTTGAACTGCTAAGAACTTGGCCGGAGCCTGTCTCTGCTCAGTGTGCTCCAAGCCAGCTGAATGCCGCGCCCAGCTTGCGCGTCTCGGAGACTCTTTGTACGTGTTTGTAGGATGTTGCGAACATGGACTTAATGTTCGCTGCTGCGACGGACCAGCCGGGCCGGGCTCTCCGGCCGTTGGCTTTCCAGTGATCTTAAGATGCTCTCAAAAACCCCTGCTAGCGCGAGGCCAAAACTGGTTGTTATACCAGCCGTTGCAGTTCCGTCGCCGGTGTGCTTCGTGATGAAACCCAGTCAATGGATTCCCGGTTGCATCCACCGAGCCGACTCGCCGACGAATCCACATGCGCATGTGCAGTCGACAGCTGGGGAGTCTGTGTAGAGTCGTGCGTTTTCCGGGAACTAAACGTGGATCCTTGCCCGGTAGCTTTGCATGCGCGAAGCTGCTACGTAGCCGAACAGGTGTCTCCGTAGCCATCTAAACCACCCTCTGCTTTCGCAAAAACTCGGGCCTCGTCTCCAGGGTCGGCGCCTACTACCTCCCAATGGCCTTGAAGGGCATCCGGGTGCTGACCCCAGAGGCAGGAGCTGTTGCTCGAGAGCCCCAAGCGCTGCCAGATGGAAAGAGCCCTCAACATCAAAGAAAGAATCCAAAGCCAGGAATACCTAGCCAGGATCCTTGAGCGGGGGGCGGCGCTGCAGCCGCGTTTTCACAGGCCGAAGCACCAAAAGCTCATCTCCCGCAGCTCCCGGGCTTCGCACGAGGAGACTGGGAGTGCGCCACGACTAAGGGCACAAAGAAGCACATCAGCAATATCAACATAGTTCATAATGATCGAAATAATGACAGAATCGTAGCAATAGTCTGCATCATCAGAATCGTACTCGCAATCAGAATGAGAAGCAGTAACAGCGATGATAGGATTTTGGACTGCTTTTCTTGTTGGCCGAGCCCCTTGGCAGGTACATCTGCATCGACCCGAAGGGTGCGAGCACCTACTTCCAGCCCGGAGCGCCCTCGGAGTCTGGCCAGGCGTCCTTTTTGAGAGGGCTAGTGGCGGCTAGTGAGCGGCTAGTGCCTGGTTTGGGTTTTTATCATCGTCTCAGCCGGGCCGGAGTTGAGGCGTCTCAGGTACTCTGGCTCAAGCTGCGGCCTGTTGACTCTTGGGCTTACTCAGCATGGCATGCTCGACGCGAAAGGCGACAACCGGCACGGGCCGTGGCCGCAGGCGTGTTGGTGGCAGCTTCGTGTTTGGGCCGCTGCGCCGGAGCGCAGCGCCTCTTGCAGCGGCTCGGCTGCCAGCATGATGCCGCCGGAGAGATCGGTGATACGGTGATACAGCCGCTGCGGACCCGAAGCTGTCACCACAAGGCCATCGGAAGCATCAGTGCCCCAATGTTGTGATTTCCCGAGCAGATTGGGATAACATGTGGGCCGAGTGGAGAGGGTCACGGCAGTCTACGACTCCGTGAAGGACATCACGGACCCAAGGTGCATCGGCCTACATGAAATCGCTGGTAACGGCTGAAGATGCACAGAAGAAGTACAACGGTTTCCTGGAGTCAAGGATGTGGTGATAACGAGCCCGGTGACGAAGGCCGGTCCTCCAGCCAGAGCCCTCTGCGACTCCACGTATTCCTTTTCCGAAGGAGGTGCACTGGCTGAGCGACATTTACCTGAAGACGGGGCACGACGGCGCCGCAAACCCTGAAAGCGGATGACAAGATGATTGTGATGGGAAGCCAGATGGACGGAAACCTCCTGAAGGCAGCAGGCGAAGCCCACCACAAAGCGTGACCTCTGCTGCAGACCAAGCGGCCAAGGCGACCGTCCCAGGCTGGCATGGTGGGTGCGTCCCCAACAGCAACATGTTCTGTAAGGTGAATCCACTGGCAGCTGTCAAGGGCTTCTACACGTCCAAAGATGTGGCGCAGGCTGCTCCGCGATGAGGGGTTGAGCGCTTGCAGCTTTCAATGGCAGATGTTGGCGCTTGAACTTAATTTTTTAATGATCTGATGATTCCTGCCAAAGCTCTGCGACTTCTTTGTGAAGTGCATTCCATCGTGACGAGCCATGCCGAATCTCGAGGGAACTTCGAGGGTTTTGGCATGTATTGCCTGTTTTGGGGGTCCTCGGGTCCATTGATCAGTGCTTCGTGCTTCCGTGGTTTTGTTGATGCTCGACATCAACGGTGCAGCACAGGTGAGAGCACTGGCACTGGTGAGTCTCCCGCAGCTGTTTCGGAGCTCCGAAGGAACAGGCCGCAAGCCGTAAAACTAATTTAAAGCGCCAACCACACCCCGGCTCAGGCCCCCGCCGCAGAGCGCAGCAGAGTGCAGCAGAGTGCAGCAGTAGAGCAGCAGAAGAGCAGCAAGAGCAAAGAGCAAAGCAGCCATCCGGCAGCTGCCCGGCAGCTGACGAGTTTCAACAAAGGCCCAGAGTTGGACAAGTAGCTCACAGCACGTGCGGAGCCGCAAACGCGGCCTCCCGGCGCGATGGCTGACATGAACCAGGCTGGGGCAGGGCCGCAGCGCCGATTTCTCCTTGGCTCTGCCGACCGCGAAACTTGCAGGGCTTCGGGGACCTGCCCGGGGTTGTTAATGAGGACGTCCAGGCCGGCCCCCAGCCCCAGGGCTTTGTTGGCTTTCAGCAGTGGGCCAGCGAAGATGGACAAGTGAACTGCAGCATGTCTCACACTGTTGGTGATTTGTGAGGCTCGGGTCATGATTGGTTTGTTAGTATTGCACTGGAGTTAGTAGAGGAGTCGCAGAACAAAGCCGTCGACGACGCGGCAGCCAAAGGAGGGTAGCACGGCAGAAGTGTTGAGCTGTACCGGGTTTGCAAGTTCACCAGGGGTGCAGGACGTGTCAAGAAAGCAGAAGGTCCGATTCGGGGGCCTTCCCTGAACAGTTTGCGACTCCTGAAGCCCGTGACGGGGCTGTTGACGGACTTGCGCCTAAGGATATCCATACCGGTCGACCTCCGACAACAGCGGCGATCCTCCCAACAGCGGCGATCCTCCCGGGCGTCGAACACAGAGCCTCCGAGTAAGTTCAAGTGCCGCAGCCCGAGCTGAGCTTAGCACGGCGTGATCTTCAGGAGCCACCTGAAGATGGGCCCACACGCCTTTCTGGGTGTGTTGGGTGGGTGGTTGGTGAAATCACTTTGGGATGGATGATCTCCTTTCGGTTCCAAGGTCCGTCTTACACGGCCCGGCTCTGGGAGCACACAGCCTCGGGGTGGCAAGAGCCCTCCGGCTGCAGTTGTGCAGGGCGGAGCCCTGCAGAACGAGTTTGCTCTTGGCACTTCGCTGTTGAGGACGCATCATTTCTGTGCTGGGCTAGAAGTGGCCCTGCGCTCAGCCGCCGGACAGAGCGCAGACTCAGCCTGCTGCCAGTCCCGCAGCAGTCGATCTCGCTCAGGACTTGAAGAAAGACGCAGCGGCATGCGAAGACTTGCACAGGGCTGAAGGGGGTGCTGTTTCTTCGCGTCTGCGATCAATGGCTGCAATGTGTGTGCAGGTCTGACAATAACACGGAGCGCGAGGCTTCTGGCTGTTTTGTCCTTCTTGCCAGGGACCTGTCGATATCTTGGCGGCGAGGTGCACTTGCCCTCCACCTCGCTAACAGCTCTGACGCAACTCCAGGCGAACGTGGGAGACACCGGGGCTCTGGTATTCAAAGGGTCGCACCTCGTGGACCCTTAAAGCTTCCGTCGTAATGGCTAATGAGGACGCGTTGAAGACTCCCGCCGGCCTCCTCTTGGACATCGCGGACTGCGGCCACGCCCTCGGACCCCTTGCCTCTTTAAGCCTCGCGCGGCCTCTCGTGTCTATCTCTCCCTCTCTTTCCGTTTCTCTCTTTCATATGTACGAAAGACCTTTATGTATTATTTGGCGATAGGCTCTCTGTATAGTATACTGATCCAGACCACCGCCTCCAGCCCAGCCCCCCCAAATTAAATTTTATAAAATCCTTAAAATCTTTAAAGTTTAATTGGCCGCCCAATTAAA